TATTGATCCAAGAGACCAGCTAAGATCTGTCAAAGCAGAATAGTTGAAATCCCACAACCACAACATACGGTCAAAAGCACTTGCATTATCAAAATCCACTTTGGATTGTACCTTGTGAATGGTATAATAGGGAGCCCAAACAGGTCGAATAGCTTCAAATCGATCAAAGAACTCAGATGGAAATGCAGATAGATATCCAGTTCCAATTTTCACCTGACAGGCAGACAGACCAGCAACAAGAGATGACATTTTCTGTTTCAGGCTATCATTTTGTGTGCTGGCCCACATTAGAGCTGATGCGCTCAAGTAATGCCCTTCACAGCGTCAAAAAAAAAATCATAAATTAACTTTAAAAAGTGAATAGCAGAGGCCAAAATTTGCAGGCTACACGCGTGCTAGATGCAGGATTGCCAAAATCCCAGGGATAACAAAACATGCATTAGAGTGTCAACATATCCGATTTGAGGGATATTTATAAACAAACGTCAAACCAAGTAAATGCAATTAATACTTGAGATACATGGAGTCCAAGGGATCCTTTAGAGAAAACCTTACATATAGAAAGACAAGCTTTAGAAAGCTTGAAAACATTTGTTGCTGTTTGTAGATAGCAAAACATCAACTACGAAATATTGTCTAAATATAACTGAAATTTTAGATCAAATAAATAGTTCAATCTTCTCTGAGCTCTGAGTATAAAAATCCAAGCAAAGCAATGGAAAAAGCATTACAAGAAAAAGAGACATGTGCAATTATTCCCTTTTGAATCATAGAATGAAAGCAACCAATTACAATGTTATTACACTTGGATTGTATTTTAGGCCATTCCTTCCTATTCCCTAGCAACTAAGAATTCATTAGCAAGTACGAGCTAAGTATAAAAAAAGAGCATTAAACTGAGGACACAAGTTAGATATGCATAAAAAGGGCATAATTGCACTTTTGTTTCTTTTACTATCATTATTTTGTGAAGTTGGTCCCTCTATTTGTTTTTTCGTTTTACGATTTGATCCTTACTATTTATATTGTGCAAGTTTAGACCATCGTTTAACTTGATATCCAATATTTAACAGAAATATTGACATGACAATGCAGGAGAGTGTCACATAAGCAATTCCATTACATGTTGAATGTATGATATATTTGAATATCCGTTCAACGTGGATCCAATAATATCTTGCAGTCACATTTAGTGCCTAGAAATGTGTGCAATGGATGACCAAACTGTGATACAAACACACACTAAGTTAACAAATGGACCAAAATTGTGTAATTATAATAGATCAAATTCGCGAAATGACATTAATAAGAGAACCAAAAAGTACAATTAAGAAAAAAAATCATCATGATTAATGAAAAAAAAGACTAACCAACAAAATGACCCCTGAGCTCAATATTTGGAGCTTCCCACCCTCCATAAGGTTTCCCAGGAGTGGCTAGACCAGCTGTCTTCCTGAAGCTCCAAAGCAAACTATCAACATCCAACATCAACAGATACTCCAAATTCGTCTGCTGTGCTCTACCATGGATGGAATCCTCATGCAACCTCACATCCTGAAGAGGCACTTCTTTGAGAAAGCCTTGAGGTGCATTGAACACACCCATGTTCTTAATTTCCCTATACATAGCCCCCCATTCATTTTGGTGTTGTTCTGTCAAAAACTTCCTAGGCATCAAATCATTCCAAGCAGATTCATCCGTTGGCGTCAAATGGTAGTGAGAGAACACCTCATTGGATGCCAATACCTCGTACCTGAGCGTGTGTGATTGCGTAGGAGTGTTTGTGCACTCCTTGCACGCAGCATAATCGCACAGCACAAGGGCCACCAACACAGACACAAGAATCTCCATTGTGCTGAGAAATTCAAAACCAAACCAACATAATTAAAGAACCTTAAACCAAACAAATGCTGGTACAAGGAAGCGTCAAACACTAATCAACAGATAACCTCCAAAGAGGCTACAAGTACAAGCAATTAGAATTGGAACTCAATAACAAACTGAATAGAAAACAAAATTAAATTAAAAAAATATATAAGGGAGTAACCTTGGATAACCGAAATGAAGAGAAAGTGAGGAGTTGAAGGGGAACAGTTAAGATAGCATAGAGATTTGAGGAGAAATATATATAGAAAAGAAAAGAGGTTGGAGTGCGGTAGTCAATGACGCGCACTTTCTCCTCAACCGTCTGCAGTTTACACTTTAGAGCTATGATGCACACATACGATAATTTTATTCGATATGGTCTTGGTCATACATTATTGTAAAATCTAAAATATTTAGATATACAATACATATAAGATACATATTTAGACATATATAAAAATTCGTAAACATAATACATATATAATTATGATTGTACAAACCCAAACTAAGAACATATTTCCTAGACATTACTAAAACTAAAATAAAAGTAATAAATCATTCTCATCATAAATTACTTTATATTATCTATAAATAAAAATAATATCAATCTCTTTACTTTCTTAAATTCATGAAGACACAATATTTTTATATTTCTATGTTATTATGATGCGTCTATGTTATATATATATTCTTATTAGATTTTTATTTTTTTAAGCTTGAATTTTTCACATATACATATACGTGAAATATCTAAAAGTATTATTATATATAAATGTATTTTTAATGCTTAATAAATTTAAAGTTTTGCAAGAAGAACTATAAGAAAATGAATTAAAATATAAATATAAGGACTAAAACTGAAAGTTGTTAAAAAAAAAACTAAATATACTTTTAACTTCACTTTTAATTCATGTATGATTTTCACATCTTTAATATTAATTATTTATATTTAATTTTAAACTTTTAAAATTTATATATATAAAGAAAAATAATAGTAACACACTCTTTTAACATACTCTCATATTTTATTTAGTGTTTTTCTCATACTTTTATAGTTTTTAATAAATTTTAATTAATAATATAATTTGTGATAAAAAAAATGAATTAGAGAGTGCATTGTTAAAAAAATCTAATCATACACATTTTATTATATATAAAAAAAAAGCATTTCGTGCCAGCAATACACTGCATTAAAAAATATTTTTTTAATGATTTTTTTGGACAATTCTTGTAGCTTTAAAATAAATTGAAAAAAATAAAAGAATGAGAAGTTACAAAAAAATATGTTTTTAGGAAGTTCTAGAATAAATAAAGGAGACAATAATTTATGTAAAAATAGAAATGAAAAGTACTTATCATGATTTTTTTTATATATATAATGATATAGATGATCAGGCACAAAACTTTTAAACTAGGTGAATCAATATTATGTTCATATGTGTTGATAAGCATAGAATTAAATTTATGAGTAATAAGCACAAGCTTGAGGTAGCACCCTATCATTTTAATCAACAAACATTATTGCTCATTTAATTATGTGACGGTTGATAGTTAAAAATATATAGAACTTTAACACTAGGTAAATTAACATTAAATTCATTTATGGATATATAGATAATAAAAATTTTGATGCATCAAACACATACTTAAGAATAAGGTTTTACCATTTTAATCACCAAATAATATTGTTCATTTTTTTTAATTGTTAGGAAATATTTTTTATTAAACACGTAAATAATCTTTTTAGAAGTTTGATAGATATAAAGTAAGTGGACATTATCTCCCATTTCATTCAATTATGTGATGATTGATAATAAAAAAATTTATCAAAAAAAACTTATACACTAGGTGATTTAACATTTAATTCATTTACTGATAGGTCAAATAATTAAATATTAAGTGAATAATACATATTAGAAGATAAGGTTGTATATTTTTTAACTATTTTATTGATGCAAAGTATACATCATCGTGTCAATTATTAATCTCTATCATCAAATCTAGTTGACTACTTTTAAAAGAATTTCATTTCTCAATTATATTTTATATTTTTTTTTTCATTTACAAAAGTTAAACATGATACATTACTTGAGAAGACCGAATTCAATTATACCTAACTACAAATTTGGTGATGATATTATTTTAATAAACAAAGACTATCACTCATTTAATCATTTGCTAATTTTATATTTGAATCCTCTAAAATAAGAAGATTGCCCTTTAGAGGATAAATAACAATAATAAATATTAATTAAAATTCAACCATTAATATTATAATAAATTTAAATTTTATTACATATAAATTTTATTTTATCACAATTTTTAATATTTATTTCTTAAAACAATAATTATTATAAACTTGATAATGGTATCATTTTAATTAACAAAGCCTATTACTCATTTAATTATTTGTTAATTTTAGATTTGACTTCTCTAAATTAAGGAGATTACACTTGAGAGGATTAATTTCAATGATAAAAATTAATTAAAATTCAACCATTACTATTATAATAAATTTAAATTTTATTATATATAAATTTGATTTTATCACAATTTCAATGTTAATTTCTTAAAACAATAATTATGTTAATGACTTTCTTTCTCTCACACTGTGTTAACGGAAAATTATTTAAAATTACAAATTTTGATAGATTTATTTAATGAATCATCTTTTATTTAACATTAGACTCACCAGAAATAATAATTTTAAATTTATTCAATATTTATTTACGTACTTTATCCGATGATGCTAATGCCTATGGGACATATTTCTTACTAACAAGAGTGAATATTCAAATATTTATCCTACATTCATTCATGAAAGTGCCCTAATGGATCAAAGACCATAGGTCTTCTATCTTGCAAGGCATATCTTTTCTAAATAAAATCTTTGAAATGATATATTTATTTTCATGTTACCCGCTTTTTATTTAGCTTTTTTAATTTTTAATTTTTTGAAAGGATCTTTCCCCACTTTTATTCTCTATTTATTCTATTCAAGTTCATCTTTTTCTTATAATAGAATGAATACAAAATTATTAATAAAAACTCTAAATTATTCATTTTCATTTCTTAATTTAATTTTAGTCTATCTTCACCTTATGCAGCTGACTTCCACAATTGAATAACAACACTGAACAAAGGAAGATATATTATTCACCAACAATTCTTTCTACAATTGAATATCGATTCCTTGAGCATGTATAGACCAAGCTCACTACACTGATTATTTTAATTGATGTATCAACCTTGAATATTGAAATAAACTGTGTAGTACTCATCTCTGAATGAGAATAATGGCTCCAAAAGAAAATTCCTCTTTGCCCCTTTAGCCACAAAACTGATAGGATGGTATTGGCTCAATCCTTGACGAGAAACAAAGCTTGTTGCTTGCTTAAAAGTAGCATCAGAATTAGATTGGCAACTGAGCTTAACTCCTGCATTAGAGCTCACACCACTATATATGTAACAGCCCTTGTTGCTTTGGGATTCTAAAGATATGGTTTTATTTCTACCATCCAATCCTGGTACCACAAGAAAAACAGAAGATGGCCCACCATTGGATGAATCTGCAATGAGAAGAGGTTTGTCTGCTCCTTGGTGAATCACATTCATGCCAGGAAGATCAAATGGTTCTAAAATCACTGGTCTATCTTTAGCATCTGCCAATGTTGAAAATTTTGGGGAAGATTCTTGTGGGACAAGCCTAAAGGTTGCTTGAACAGCCGAATCAGTGCCAGCTTTAGGCAATTTTTGCTTTGCAAGAGATTGGTTTGAATTTGCCAAAACAAAAGTTACCTTTCCAATGTCTTGGAATAAAGAAACAAGTTGACTATTATAAGTGGCAGGAATAGGAGTAATCCAGTTTGCATTGTTGGCCCCGGCTTTAAGGTCCCAATCCGTATCGTTTGAATGACCGGCCAGAAGATAAGGACCATACAGAATTGCTTGAACTGATGCATATTTAGGCCTGTCATCTGGATTAAGTTCAAAACCACTATCAGTAATATGACCAATTCTTTTGTTAGAAATATATGCTGTCAGAAGAATACTAGTATTCAACACGCATGGATTATCTTGTGAAGCTACCTTTTATGGCTTCTGTTCTTGTGGTAAGGGGCAGCTGAAGGGTCAACTGATCACTAGCATTCCATTGTCTTGTGATTGTCAAAAAGTTCCCTAATAGCCAAAAAAAATAAAACATTACAATGTTTCAAGTGTTGATTTATTCTGTTTTAAAAAAACACAAATATATATATATATATATGCTGTAAAAGAACCTATTTTCTGGGGGTCAAGCATTCTTGCTACTAGTGTGTATGTATAAAATCAGATAAATAGCAAATATCTGCTTTTGGATAATAAAAAGGAAGTAAAGAGAGATTCATACCTGGAGTTGGCAGAGATAAATTTTCAGCATTTAATGTTCCCTTGGCACCATCCAGACGAGTCCAACTTGGTAGTCTAAAGTTTAATGTAGACAAAGTACTCTGCAAAATTAAAGACTTGAAAACTTAGGTTGTAGAACAAAAATGCAGAGAATCTTACATTTCACATCATGTTGGTATCTTCTCAAATAATGTTTAAAAAATGGCATTGTAAGTGACACAAATTCATCACGTTTCCTTAGAACATATTGTACCCTATCCATTATTCTTTAGTTGATTCGTTTAGCAATTAAAAAATTAAAACAAATCTAAGTCGCCAAATTTTCATAATCTAGTTTAGATATTCAATTTTGTTATTGTTCCTGCTCTACTTAAATTAGGCCCGTGACAAGCTCAGAATAACCTTAACCTCCCAGTTCTGTTTGGGGGTTGGCGTGAGGTCCAACACAACACTACAAGCCCACATCACACTGTGCTCCTTATCCCCAAAAGCAGATGAGGATGATTACTCTTAAAGGTATATAAGATCATGTATTTAGCTAAAATGAAATGTCATAGCCCATAAAACAATGTCACAGTTACCTCGACAGGAGAAAATGTAAATGTCACTCGTAGGTAAGGATCCCATGAAGCAGCTGGAACAACTGTCTGATTGATCAAAATTTTGCCAGATTTCCAATTAAATGAGCTTGATACGTACTGAATGATGTAAAGTGTTGGACTTTTTCCTTCCTCTTCGAAATAGATAGAATCCCCCAGCTTTGAGAATGATTCAATTCCTAATAAACAGATAAAGAAATTTATAATAAATGACTGATGAGAGTATTATGCAGTTTCTAAAATATATAAACAATAGTACAATGGTATACCTGTCCCATAGCAGCACCAGAAATCGTTAAACGGTGTTCCCCAACTATGATAAGATTTAGCCTTGGAAACCCCACGACCCAGTGGAAGCATATAAATCATCACTCCAGGATCTGTTCCTCTTTGAATGCTGAGAACACCATTGGTTAAGGCACGTTCATAATAGTCTGCATAAGAGATTTCTTTGGTCCATCTAAACAGGTGGCGCGAAACCTGAAATCATTTTATTTTGAGTGGTAAGACAATGAAAACAATCAGTCACATAAACATATACAGACATAAATCATGAATATGTAGTGATGAATTACCATGTGAATCTCTCTTCTGATTTGAAGACATTTACATACACATGTATAACTTCCCAAGTATTACATGACAAGTTTAATTAAATGATGAATGATTGGGTGTACCTTCAACATATTATAAGTTGCGCATGATTCTTCATTCTCTGTTCCTAAAGTGTCTGCTAATCTCTTGGGATCAACCCTGCGCAAGAATTGAAGAAAAGGACTTAAGATAGAAATCTAGAATTGGTTATCAACTAATAAGGAACACACAAATGCTATCTAGTTGATGTCCTTGTAACAAAAAAAGAATGCACATGAAAAAATAAAAATTAAAAAATGCAACATCTGAATACCAGAACTCGCCGGCTGATGTTCCTCCAGTTGCATAGCTGTGAGAAGAGTTTACGAGGTCCATAAAGAATGTTCCAATTTCCTAATACACCAATAAACAATAACAAATGTCAGAAACTAGAAAGGCATGACAAGTAAAACTATACAAAACATACACAATACAGGGGATCAAACAAACAAATCCTATGAATAGAGACGTAATTTGAAGTTTCATTTTTGAATGACGGGTATTCTTCATGGAAGACACAAGGTTGACTTGCATTTCTTGCAAATATAATATTACATTTAAAAATTCAAAAGTAAATATATAATATTACATCAATAAATAGCAAAATAAACACAATTCCATTCGAACTTAATGAAATACAGATCAGTAATCTGCAAAGTGAGTGAAGCAGTTCACCTTATAAAGTGGATCGCCTGTGATTTCATACCGCTTTTGAGATCCAACAACAATTGGAATATGCGTATTAGCATGAAAATCAGCTATGTCATTAGCCTACACGAGAAAAGAGAATTTTAAAGTTAATTCTTGGCCCTCTTAACTTAAAATTAGATACAATTTATGGAATAGGATATAAAGGCCTAAGTTCAACATTAAAATATATAATTGTTTCATTTGGAGGTCAGCACAACATTACAAATAATTTACCTAATTATATATTGTATGCAAAAGCTAACAATAGTTACAACGCCACTATAACTGATTAAAAAATAATTCGAAAGACAATTGCAAGTCTGCAACCTCTAGAAACTTACAACCACAACAATATAGGGCTATTTTTGTAATAAAGAATATTTTAGTCACTACCTGCACTGCAAGCAACCCTAGAAAGCACGGCTTGTCAAAAAGGTGAGCCAACAATAGATGCTTAGAATCCCCCTGCAAAGAAGAACATGACAACTTTACTTTCGAATTGATGTTTACAACATTAACTAGGTACCTTGGACTATAATCATGAAATTTATAACAAGTAAGCCAATGCTTATAAAATAATATCTCATTATGGAGTAGAATAATGTTTATGCTTAAATCAAAAAGTCAATTCAAGAACATCATGCAAACAAACAATGCAACAAAAGAGTTAAAGATATTACACAAACCAGTTAACTTACAGTTATGCTATATAGTCTGTATAGGACATCATTCATTCCTCCAGTTTCCTCATTCAGTGATTCATAGTGTCTATTTAATGTGTACTTTGTTATTACATTCTGCACTCTCTTGTAGAAGTAATCAACCATCCATGTTACAATTTTTAGAGCTTGGGGGTTTCCAGCAAAAGTATATTGATCCAAGAGACCAGCCAAGATCTGTCAAAGAAAAATAGTTGAAATCCCACAACCACAACATAAGGTCAAAAACACTTGCATCATCAAAATCCACTTTGGATTGTACCTTGTGAATGGTATAATAGGGAGCCCAAACAGGTCGAACAGCTTCAAATCGATCAAAGAGCTCAGATGGAAATGCAGAAAGATATCCAGTTCCAAGTTTCTCCTGACAGGCAGACAGACCAGCAACAAGGGATGATATTTTCTGCTTCAGGGTATCATTCTGTGTGGCTGCCCACGATAGAGCTGATGCACTCAAGTAATGCCCTTCACAGTGTAAAAAATGAACAATCATAAATTTACTTTGAAAAGAGAATTGTAGAGGCTAAAAGTTGCAGCCAGGGGTAGTGTGTTCGATAGAGCAAAACCACTAAAGTCCTTTGGAGAACCAAACATGCATTAATTTGAGCGTCAACATATTAGTGTGTGAAGAAGATTTCAGAAGTTAGGAACAAACCTCAAACCAAGTAAATACAATTAGTACTTGAAATAGATGGAGTCCAAGGGATCCTTTAGAGAAAACATTGCATATAGAAATGCAAGTTTTACAAAGCTTGAAAACATCTGTGGTTGCTTGTAGATAGCAAACCATCAACCACGAAATATTGTTAAAATATGACTGCAATTTTTATTCAAACAAATGGCTCAATACTAGATTTTCATGAAAATCTTTCCCTGTGCCTCAGCTCTGAGTATAAATTTCTAAGCAAAGTAATGGAAAAAGCATTACAAGAAAAAGAGACTTGATCGGTTATGCCCTTTTGAATCTTAGAATGTAAACAAACAATTACTAAGTTATTAACATTTGACGGCATTTTAGGCCCTTCCTCCTTAGGAATCCGATTCAGTATAGTCTACTTTCATGCAACTGTAATTGTTGGATGAAGACCAAATAGCTCAAATTATGAACTTGTCTTTTAACGTTGATTTACCAACGATAAAACATGAGTTATCCGATCTGTGGCTACTCTCGGTTCGGTTTTCAGAAAACCAAACCGTACCAAATTTCCACTTTACAAAAATGATTCGATTTACAGAACTGTTTTTTCTATAAAAGTGGATTTTTTTAATGGATCAATTTTTTTTAAATTGATTTATAAAAAAAAAAGGAACAGAATTGCACTACATTATAAAAGTGGTCTAGTTAACCAAACCGTTTTTACAGCGTGACTTGGTACTTTGGTTCCATTTTTTGTCAGAAAGGTTCGGTTTTTAGAAACCGGTTTGATCCAGTTTTGAATCGGTTCAGTTTTCTTGCACACCCCTTCATTCCGATCTTCATTCAACGTTCTAAATTGTTGAACGTGTGAATGCATAGAAAAATAAATACAGCGAATCCGGATCCTCCTCCTAATTCCCTTGCAACTAAGAATTCATTATCAAGTAAGAGTTGAATATAAACAAAGGGTGTTAATTAAACTGCGGGCACAAGTTAAATATGGCAATTTGGCAAACAAAAAATGTAACAGTTAAGATGATTAATAAAAAAAAAAAAAAAAAAACTAACCAACAAAATGACCCCTGAGCTCATTATTTGGATCTTCCCACCCTCCATAAGGTTTCCCAGGAGTGGCTAGACCAGCTGTCTTCCTGAAGCTCCAAAGCAAACGATCAACATCCAACATCAACAGATACTCCAAATTTGTCTGTTGTGCTCTACCATGGATGGAATCCTCATGCAACCTTACATCCTGAAGAGGCACTTCTTTAAGAAAGCCTTGAGGTGCATTGAACACACCCATGTTCTTAATTTCCCTATACATAGCCCCCCATTCATTTTGGTGTTGTTCCGTCAACAACTTCCTTGGCAGCAAATCAGCCCATGCAGACTCATCCGTTGGCGTCAAATGGTAGTGAGACATCATCTCTGCCTTCCACGTTTCATTCTTGGATGCCAATAACTCGAACCTTAATGTGTGAGACTGTGTAGGAATGTTTGTGCACTCTTTACTAACAGCACAACCACACAACATAAGGGACATGAACACAAACACAAAAGCCTCCATCCTCCTGAGAAATCCAATGCCAAACCAACAAAGTTAAATAATCTTAAACCAAACCAATTAGCAGGAACCAAAAAAATAAAATAAAATAAACATTATCAGCAGACAAACTCAGTGCAAGTGGAGCTGAAAGTCAAACTCTAAAGTCTAAAACCAATTAGACTTGGAAGTTGGAAAACAAATTTGATAAAAATAAAAACACACAAATGAAGAGAATTACTTTGGATATCTTACATGAAGAGAAAGTGAAGGCTGAAAATTGACTAGAGTAAGAGAGTGTAGAACATAAAATGAGAGAGGCAGAGGAGGAGATACTTACGAGAAAAGACATGCGAGGGAGAATATATATAGGCACTAGAAAACAAAGACCAATTTGGAGTGAAGTGCTGGTGCAGACAATGAAGTGAGGCTTAAACTCATCTCGTGAAAGGTAAGGTTTGGATTTGGAAAATAATCTCCTTTCCTAAGCTAGTTTTGTACGTTATCCTGAATTATGTCAGCTGGAGAGAGAAAAGGGTGTTAGAATGCATGGACACTAGAAAACATGTTGTCTTAGGTAGCAACTAGGAAAAAAAGTAGAGATAGAAAGAGATAAGACATCTAAACATAAGCAATGACTCAAGGATGAACAATGGAAAAATGTTGCAAAACTGGTTTATCCAATTCCCAGTTTGGGAATGAATGAATGTTGTCCTGAAAAGGTTGCAAGTGGAGTTGGTTAATTGATAAGTTAAGACATGCCGTTGTTCCTTTGTTCAGTTATGTTTATATTACTAGTATTAGCAACATTTATTTCTATATTATCAGGAGCGTTTATTTTTAGGTATCATTTTGTATTTTTAAAAAGAGTAATGATTTCATAAAATTTACATCATTACTCATTGGGGCTATATCTCCTTCATTCGGAAAGGAAACAAACAAGGTAATGAACAAACAAGGTAATGAAGACAGATAAACACAAAGTGATTTTCATTAGGAAATGAAACAAAAGAAGTAATGAAGACAGATAAACACACAGTGATTTTTGCAAATATTGTAGTACATGATTCTTTTAAAGCAGAAATGTTAGATTTTTTTATTATATCTACAAATAACATTTTTGGCTATAATATTTGTAGAAATCTTATTCTTAAAAGAGTAATGTATAATAATATTAAAATTATACATTTTCAATACTTAATAAATTAAAATTTATTTAATTAAAATTTTAAAAATTAAAATCACATAATCAATACTAGTAAACTCAAAAGCATAATTAATTTTAAAAATTATCAAAAGTCTTATGTAAACTATGAGATAAAAGTGACTAATAAAAATAGAAAAATCAAAAGATAATTAATAAAACATATTCCCCTTATAATTAGGTATAAATATAAATACAAATGCTCCTTAAAAAAATTATTGATATATATTGGGACTTGCGGGTGCAGAAGGCACGAATCTAGAGAAAAAAATGGTTTAACACATGCAAGAACAATGTTATCATAAAATAGTTTAAGATGATTTTTTTTATTATAATATAATTTATAAAATGCGAATGAAATATAATATAAAGTTGTAATTTTAATAAAAATTAAAGTTTTATTGAAAACTACAACAACTCACTCATCGATGTAATTTTTAATAAAAAAAATTACATATTGATTTGTTAATTTGTTTTTCAAGATTAACTATTAGCAGGACCAAAGAAACAGGTCAAACATGATACGGGTATTTCATCAAAAACGAAAAGAAAAAAAATGATACGTGTATAACAATAAAATAATATTACCTAAAATGAATAATTAGCAATTTTGCTATATTAAATTGCAAAAAAAATATTATAAACCATATTTAAAGTTGCGAAATAATTTCTTTCACTGTATATCATACGAGAATTTTCGAACCTTTATGAGACGGAATAATTGAAAGAGTATAATATATTTTTAATCCTTTTAAATTTTCTTAAGTTTGATTTTAGTTTTTTTAGATTTTTTTGTTTTATTTTAGTTTCTCTAATTTAAAATTTATCACTTTTAATTAACAAAATAGTTTAAATAATATTTTATAAATGTTTTTAAGTACTATTTAAAGTATTTAAAGACTAAAAATAATGTATTTTCAAATTTAAGAGACTAAAATAGGATGAATTTTAAAAAAAACTAAAAACAAATTTCAATAATTTTAGAAGAACAATTTTTTTTATCATAATTAAAATTACTGTATATAATTATTAAAAAAAATCGATTGAGAAAGATAATTTTTTAACATGTTTTAGAAAGTTTAATAATTTTTTATTATTATATTAAGACGTGACAATATTATATAAAAAACAGGGTCTTACCGTTTATATATATATATATATATATATATATATATTACTTTTTATAATTAATTATTATTTAAATATCAACAATGACATAAGAATAGATTGCCATTTACTTATTTCTTTTAAAAAAGGTAAAGAACGAATTTTTTGAGATACTTCAATTGCATTATAAATTTATAAGAAATAGTTTATTACATTTAGAGTTAATTTATCTACCAGATTTTAAATATTATAAATCCTTAATTAATCCTAAATATATTTTTAATAGTTATATAATTTTAATGAATTTTTTTTATTTCAACACAATTTATCTTATAATTACGTAACATATAAATACGTGGGAGATATAGAACAAATTTTTATATGATGAGAAGACGAGGACCTACTACTTACTCTTTTGGACCTCACTTTATTTCTAATAGATATTTATTTAATTATATATTTATAAATTTTAAATAGGATAAAGTAGAATTGTACAATTAAAAATTTAAAGAACTAAAATTATTTGATTAAAATTTGTAATATTAAAATTATACATTTTCAATACTTAATAAATTAAAATTTATTTAATTAAAATTTTAAAAATTAAAATCACATAATCAATACTAGTAAACTCAAAAGCATAATTAATTTTAAAAATTATCAAAAGTCTTATGTAAACTACTTTGTTTAAAACTGTGAGTTGTTACATTTTAAAGTTATGTTACATTAAAATGTCTTTATTTTAAAGTAATAAAGACAGATAAACACAAAGTGATTTTCATTAGGAAATGAAACAAAAGAAGTAATGAAGACAAATAAACACAAAGTGATTTTTGCAAATATTGTAGTACATGATTCTTTTAAAGCAGAAATGTTTGATTTTTTTATTATATCTACAAATAACATTTTTGGCTATGATATTTGTAGAAATCTTATTCTTAAAAGAGTAATGTATAATAAAATTGTATGATATTTTGTGTTTATCTATCTTTACATCATTTATTATGAGGAAATATTTATTGATGATAGAAAGAGAAAGAGATAGACACCAAAAGAATGATGTTGAATAAGTTATGGTGTAATTTTATTATACATATATCTTTACTTTGTTTAAAACTGTGAGTTGTTACATTTTAAAGTTATGTTACTTTAAAATGTCTTTATTTTAAAGTAATGAAGACAGATAAACACAAAGTGATTTTCATTAGGAAATGAAACAAAAGAAGTAATGAAGACAAATAAACACAAAGTGATTTTTGCAAATATTGTAGTACATGATTCTTTTAAAGCAGAAATGTTTGATTTTTTTATTATATCTACAAATAACATTTTTGGCTATGATATTTCTAGAAATATTATTCTTAAAAGAGTAATGTATAATAAAATTGTGATATTTTGTGTTTATCTATCTTTACATCATTTATTATGAGGAAATATTTATTGATGATAGAAAGAGAAAGAGATAGACATCAAAAGAATATGTTGAATAAGTTATGGTGTAATTTTATTATACATATATCTTTACTTTGTTTAAAAATGTGAGTTGTTACATTTTAAAGTTATGTTATACTATGAATAAGAAATGTGTTTTCCTATTTCTGATCTTTATTATAAGGTACTTTTAATTAAATTATGCATATTAATATAAAGAGTTTTATTAATTAATTTTATTGGATTTATAAAATAAAATTATAATGTACTAATTTTATATTTTTATTTATTGTTATATTATTTTATATCAAAATTTATGTACTAAATGATATAATTGATAGTTCAAAAAAGTAAGAAAATAAATATGTATTTCTTAAATTTTATTCTCAATTCCAACAACTAAAAACACATATTTCCAAAATCTTTATTAGAATAAAAGATGAAAAATATTTTTTGTTATAAAATTTGTGAAGTGATTTTCTTCTAAATTGTATTTTATAATAAGAATTAAGAATATAACATTACAAATTTTATTCCTAAACATAGGACATATTTAGAAAATAAATAACTTTTATATTCTCATATTTTTTTATTTTTTTATTTTCAATGATGGGTAAGTTATTCACATGACGTGGCAACTAAAATTTTTATTTCTATCTGTTAAAACTTCCTCCCCACCTAATTTTGTGTCTCATCACTAACTAAACATATTTTTAAAATACTCATAAATGTCATTCCTTACATGTAAATTTTATTCACAAAAAAAAAAAATTGATAACCTGTAACTAAAGTCTTCTTTATAATTTTTAGGAATATATTTTAAATTTCAAAATCATTTAAATAAAAAGTAAATAAATATGGGAATTTCAAGTGTCATAAAAAAACAACTAATTATATTCTAAAAAAAAAATATTTTTCCATCTCTCGTGGTGAGAATAAAAATTTCCTAAAATATGAAAATATAAAATATTTCTAAAATAAAAGATATTTAAAAACCTTTTTATATAACAATCTAATAAATATAGAAATAAATAATTTACCATCATATTTTCTTGTATAGAAAAAGATAACACGTAACAAATGGCAGTAGTATTATTATTAGTATTAGCGAGGATTAAATTTTTGGTTTTTACATTCCACACCCATGATATTTTTTACGTTGCAACGGTAGGCTCAAAAGCAAGGTAGTGAGTTTTCTCAATTTATATTATTGCCCTTCAAACTATTAAATTTTCCATTTCCATCAGACGCAGTAGGCCATGACTCATGAGTAATCGTGACCCAGAAGCATTGATGAATGACGTGTGGCGGCGTTATATTTTATTTTAATATTTTGAACTGCTGAAATATATAAAAATTAATAATCATACATTATTAAAAATATTTTTTATTAAAAATTGTATCTGCAGAATTTTTTGTATAATTTTATTGTAATTTTTTGACAAAAACTTCTTATATATTGATTTTTTTAATTAGTGTCTCAGACAACTTGTTAGCAAGATCCATAAAAAAAGGTTAAATATATTTTAATATAGTTATCACTTTTAATATACTAAAGTAGCTAAATATTTATATTTTTTAATTAAAAATTAGAGTTTAATTTACGATTTGAATTTCAAATCACAACTAATGATGTCACTTTATCATGAAATGAATGCTCATAAAAAAAATTATACCTCTTAATTAT